CACCTGCAGTCCCAGCTACTCTGGAGGCTGAGACAGGAGAATCACTTGAACCTGGGAGACGGAGGTTGCAGTGAGCCAAGACTGTGCCACTGCACTGCAGCCTAGGTGACAGAGTGAGACCATGTCTTTCAAAATAAGTAAATAAAAATAAAGGGGAAGGGTTAGGCCCTCCCACTCACAGGAAGTCTGTAAAGTCTCAGTCTCTTTCTGAGCTTATTCCAGCCTCAGCTAGCAGCCAGGCCTCCAGCCTTGACAGTCCAAAGCAGCCCCGGAACTTGGTGCCATGTCGCCCCAGCAGATCTGTTTTCCGATCCCATGGGGCCAGACCACTAAGGCCCCAGCAGCCCCGACCCACTCCCCACAGAGCCCTAAGCACGGCACAGCCCAGCTCACAGGGTGCTCCGGGGATGAGTCTTGGCAGGAGGAGACGCCCCCGAGAGCCTCAATCCCAGCCTGTCGGAGCAGTCGGGCCGCTCTCCTTCTTCCCAAGGTACCTTCATTCAAACGCCTCCTCCACACTCTACTACTCCCCATGTGCAGGAGGGCCCTGCCACACCTGCAGCCTCCCATCCAGCCCACAAGCCTCTTTGGTGCAGAGGGACATCACTAGCTCTCTCACCCAGCCCTGAGGGGAGCAGTCATGCTGATGACACCTTGCCAGTGTGTGGGTCCTCTTGGTATCTCAAAGTGACTTTAGATCTATTATCTTCACAAGGGCCACGCTAGGAGAGAGTTATTAGCCTCCTTTACAGATTAATGCATGGAAGCCAGGGAGGGTGATGGTGCCAGCCTTGAGCTCCTTCCTTGAGTCCAGACCCGTCCTGCAGAGGGCAGGTGTGTGGGGGCAGGGAGAGGCCCTGAGAACCCAGCACAAGGAAGTGGCAGGGAACCCCATGTCTGCCCCCACTGGGCATAGCCCTCTGGTGCTGGGAGCCCAGACACAAGGCAGGCTGCCAGGGTGTGTGGCATCTTGGCCACATCAGAGGGTTGCTAAGCCCAGGGCTGGGGCACCCTCTTCCCTAAGGTCCCGAGAATCAGCTCCAGGGAGAGGCCTAGGATGCGAGTCTCCAGCCCTGGCCTCAGGAAGCAGCTCTACCAGATGGTTTGTCAGGTCTGGCAGGAATGCCAGTCACCCCCTGCCCTTGGCCACTCCAGAAACGTGCATGTGGCACAGTGCCCCACTCCCACCCAGGAGGTCAGGACAGGAGAGGCTGGCTGTGGGTCACACAGCCCTGCTCGCTGCTGACCAGGCATGGGGCCGTGGGCAAATCTCTTCCTCTCTCTCTAGATGCTGTCTTTTTGTGTATAAGGGAGAGCTGCACCTGTTCAGGTGTGAGGGACAAATGAGCGTCCCAGTATGGCCACCAATGGCCGTTCCAACCTTGCTCTGAAGGAGGAGCCTGGACGGCAATGTGATTGGAGCTGGGAGCTCCCTAAGCCTACCCTCCAGCCTCAGGTGCATGGCTCTGATTTGAAGGTGCATCTGTTGAGATGGCTTCAGAGAATGGCTGATGCAGATGCTGGGGGTGCAGACCCCCCAGTCCGCCACCTAGTCCTGGCAGCCCCCTCCTCTGCCCCATCTGCCTGGCACCAGGGGCGTGTCCTATGAAAAATCCAAAGCTCCAAATAGGTGGACATATGGCGGTTTCATCATCCTGGTTTTCCTTCCAAAAACCTTCCCTGCACTGCTCCAACAAGCCATAGGGGCTCCCACGCTCTGCAGCTGCTGCAGCCCCATGTGGTTTTACAATTATCAGTCCCTCTGGGTGCACAGGAAGCCAGGCCCAAGCCCCCTTGGCCACCACCCTTCTGCCTACAGGCGCCCCTGAGTCTGCGAGCTGCTTCGGAGAAGGGTGGGTCCTGCCTGTTTTGTTCTGGGTGTTGGGTGAGGTGCCCTGCTCCCCACACCCCACCTGACTAACCTCCCTGGGGTGCTTGGCAAAGAAAGCCACTCAAGGTGGGTGTCCTAAAGCTTTGCCTCTCTGGCCACATCTGTTCCTGGATTTAGGGCTTGAAGAAACAGGCTCATTGGGGGAGAGGACTGGCTAGAGTGGCAGAGCTGGGATCGGAACTCAGGGCTGTCTGCCCAAGGTGGCCTTCCACTCACTGCTGGACCTGGTGTGCTTTGAACACAGGAATGGGAGTGGTGGCCAGGTGTCCTCACCTCCTAACCCTCACCACCCTGCTGGCCCTGGCTGGGCAACTCCTATGACTAGCCCATTTGATTTTTATTTTTTATTTTATTATTTATTTTTGAGACGGAGTCTCGCTCTGTCACACAGGCTGGAGTGTAATGGTTTTATCTTGGCTCACTGCAACCTCTGCCTCCTGGGTTCAAGTGATTCTCGTGGCTTGGTCTTCCCAGTAGCTGAGATTTTAGGCAAGAGACACCATGCCCGGCTAAGTTTTGTATTTTTATTAGAGACGGGCTTTCTCCATATTAACCAGGCTGGTATCGAACTCCTGAGCTTAAGTGAGCCACTCATCTTGGCCTATCCTTTCTCTTTTTTTTTTTTTTTCCACTGCTAAGAGTAGTATCGCCTCGGCCTCTCAAAGTGCTGGGATTATAGGCGTGAGCCACCGTGCTGGCCATTATTTTTTTACTAAGCTATTCTTCTAGAACACCCAGGGCACTGGCTGGATTTGCGGTTAACTTGTTTTCTAAGGAGAATAAATGCTTATTACATTTTTTTTTTAAAGAGTCAGTGTCTCACTGTGTCACCCAGGCTGGAGTGCAGTAGTGCCATCACAGCTCACTGTAACCTCAAACTCCCAGGCTCAAGTGATCCTCCCACCTCAGGCTCTCTAGTAGCTAGGACTACCTGCAGGCACCCGTCACCACTCTTGGCTAATTTTTTTTTATTTTGGTAGAGATGGGCGTCTCTCTACGCTGCGCAGGCTGGTCTCAAATTCCTGGCTTCAAGCGACACCCCCACCTCCGCCAACCTTGGTCTCCCAAAGTGCTGGGATTACAAGTGTGAGCCAAACCCAGCCAGAAATATTTATTCTGAATGAGATCTTACAAGGAACTGCACATAAAACAGCTGTGCATGGCCAGAGGCAGTGGGTGGGTCCTGGGCTGTGAGGTGCTGCATGGGTGGGACCCAGAACAGGGTGCCCCAAAGGCTTCCAGGGGCTCTGGGAGCTGGGTGGCAGTGCTCCTCCTTTGCTGCAGGCCAGCCTCCGGAGAGGGAGCACCTTCCCCAGGGTCCTGGCCGGCTCCGGAGCTGGGGAGGAGGTGAGGGTGGGGGCTAGCCCTCCAGGTGATCGCATCCTCTGACCCTTCCTGAAACCCCATTGAAGCCCCAAAATGACCCCCAACTAGAAGAACCCAGACCAGGGCCATGAACTCTCAGGCAGACACCTGTTCTCAGCCCCTTTCCAGCCTCGGCTCAGCAGGCACTTCCTGGAGCAGCCCCAGGGGGTTCACAGCCCGGTCACCGGAGAGCCCTGCAGGTGGAGTACTCAGCGAAGAAGGGTGGGAGGCCGGCAGCCCTTTTCCCTTCCTCCTAGTCCAGGGGCACACTAAGTTCTAGGCCTTCTCTAATGCACTCACAGCTTGAACAAAAATGCTCCACCTCTCTTGGGTGACCCCTGCCCCAAGCTTTCAGGACCCCAGGCTGGAGTGACAGCATTGAACTTTTTTTTTTGAAATGGAGTCTGGCTCTGTTGCCCAGGCTGAAGTGTAGTGGTTCGATCTCAGCTTACTGCAACCTCCACCTCCCTGGTTTAAGCATTCTTGCCTCAGCATCTCGAGTAGCTGGGAACTACAGGTGCGTCCCACCATGCCCGACTAATTTTTTTTTTTTTTTTTTTTTTTTTTAGTAGAAATGGGGTTTCACCATGTTAGCCAGGTTGGTCTCCATCTCCTGACCTTGTGATCTGATCTGCCCGCCTCGGCCTCCCAAAGTGCTGGGATTACAGGCGTGAGCCACTGCGCCAGCCAGCATTTAACCTTTCATGTGGGTGTCTCAGCCCTGGGAACAGCTGTGGTCTAAGGGTGGGGCTGGGGGCTTCTACCACTCACTTTTCCTTACAGCGTGTGCTTCGGATCAGGAACCCCGTGGGAAGCATGCTGGAGCTGGACGGCCCGGCTTGAATCGGCTCCCACCCCCTTTGTTAGTCCGGCCGTCCTCAGTCTCGGACTGTCCCGCCGTGAAATCGGGGAACGTGAAATTCCTCAGATCTTGAGGGCACAGCTCCAGCTGGCACAGGGTGGATGCCCACAGGCGGCAGCTGAGTGGCCCAGGGACGGCTAGCCAGCCCTGTAGCAATTGAAGCATTCAACTGGCACCTCCAGTACTGGCCAGAGGACCAGACACCACCACAGTGGCTGGGCTCAGAGCAAACTGGGCCCGAGACCCTCAGGCACTTGTTTCTGTCCTGCTTCTGCCAGAGGGGCTGGAGCTGCCTCTACCCATGGACTTCAGGTCTGCACTTCAAGGAGGTCACTCATGAGTCACCCTTCCCTCTGCTGGTATAAACAAACCTCCTATCTGGGCCTAACCGGCCCCACCCTTAGTTGCATTTCTGTCATGGGCTATCTGCTGTCTTCAGAGGCCCGGCATCCCTGTGTTTAAACCACCCTTGGGGCTAGCATGGAGCCAGACTGGCTCCAGAACCCAGAAACCCTTGTTTACTTGATGCCACCCGGCACCAAGGGCCCCTCGGGTGCCCACTCATCTGTCTGTGGCTGAGGAGTGCCAGCCTAGGCCTCAGGTATCAACATCCTCCCGTCTGCTTCCCCCTCCCCACCCCAGGTGAACTCTTGCTCGGCTCCCACCTCGCACAGGGAACCCCCCAGGACCCCTTTTCCCTACAGACCTGGCCCTCTTAGCAGGAGGGGGCAGTTGCTGCCAAGCAGAGTAAGACTGGGCAGAGCTGGTAAGCTCGCCCCAGCAGCCTTGCCGTCTCCGTCCCTGCTGGCATTGCCCTTGACAGCACCGGGGGAAGAAGGCCAAGGGCTGCTGCCCCTGAAAAGACGAGGAGGCACCCAAAGCTTCGGCACAGTTCGGACTTTTTAATGCACGGACAAAGTCTTCACTTTCCTTCCCACGTGTGAACAAGCCGCTGCAAACTCAACAGCGACTTCCCGGGGAGGACAGTGTTGCGTCCATCCTCACCTAATACTGTGTGGGGTGACGGGCCAGTTCCTGTAGACTGAGCAGCGCTGCGGGGAGGCTCCCTGAGACCCCCAAGGGAGAGCCTGGTGGGACACCCAGCTATGCAGGACCTGGTGCTCCACCAGCTTCTGTGCCACCACTACCCGGACAGCCGCTGGCCTGCGAGTGTGCCTGGCCCTGGAGGCTGGGCCTTATGGCCCCAGGCAGAGGGGGAGGCAGACTGAACTGGCCCAGCTGCTGGGCCACAAGGCTCTGGTTTCTTATTGCTCAGCCTGGGGCCAGGGCGTTCTAAGGACATCCAAGTCAACCGCCCTCCTTTGCTAAACAGAGGAAGGTAGGTAGGAAATGAAGGGGGATTACAGGAGAAGGGGCTGGGTTTCCCCTGGCCCCACTGTCTGAACACAAAGAGCCTGGCCAGAACTACAGGCTTCCTCTCACCAGCACCAAGCTGTCATAAAGCCCCTCCATCCACCGCCAACCTCCCACCTCCTGCTGCGGAGAGTGCTCCGAAAGCTCCGGTTAAGTGAGAGGGTGAGGCAGGAGCTGGGACGACCACCCTTCTTCAGCCAGGAAATGCAACTCTGGGGTCCAAGAAGGGGATGCTCCCCGAGTACCCACATCTAATGCCCCCTGGGTGGGGCTGCCCCTTGGCTGGAGGGTGGGAAGGGGAGACAAAAATCACAGCTTTAGAAAGTGGTTGGGGAAATTCGGTCAAGTATGAAAGGTGTCACTTTACAGAACAGAAAGTAGCTTATGTATTTTTCTGGAAGACGTTCTCCTACTCCCCTGAAACCCCCAAGGAAGACCAAGGTGGTTGGGCCCTGCTGCTGTGACTGCTGAGCAGGGTGGCGCGCCAGAGCCGGTGGGGCTCGGGAGGAAGGGCAGGGCCTGAGCTTGGGGAGTCTGGGCTGGGGAGGGGAAGGCACAAGAACCCACTTCGCCTGAGAGCACAGGGGAGGCAGGGCTGGGTGAGGAAGGAAGCCACAGCCCGTGAAGCAACCTCAGCTCAGAAGCAAACGGAGGGCGCCTGGTGTTCCTGTCCACGAAGCCCCGGCCCAGCAGCTGCCAAAAGGTGACCCGGCTCCCCTGCGGTCACAGTCGCTGCACACACTGTCCAGCAGAGCCGGAGCAGAACAAAGGCCGGAGGCAGAGGCTGTGCACGTGGGGCTGTTGCACAGAGGCGGCGGTGACGAGGAACATTGCCCTAACGTTATATATTAAAATATCCATAGTTCATGTGCACAAAATTCCATCATCTCAGCCCGTCTCCCCCACCAGGCCCAGGAACAGCCTTAAAAGAAAGATGGTGGTTTTTCTTTTCGAGAGGCGAGGAAACATCCGCTCAGTCTTTATGGACCTCGAGAAATGGTGAGGCTTCCCCTCTCCCTCCCGTCTCTGCCTCCTGGCTGGGCATGGAGATGGCAGGGGCAGGATGGGCACTGTCACTCGTGCCTGCGTTTGGAGGGCGGCACCAGGTGCGGGGGCAGGTCGGCAGGCAGCTCGTGGCCCTCCAGCTTGACTTTGATGAGGTGGTTGGCCAGCGCAAACTCCTCGTCGTCCAGCAGCCCGTCCCTGTCCACGTCTGCCAGCTTCCAGATCTTCCCCAGCACGGTGTTGGGTAGCTTGGACTTCACCATCTCCTTCTTGGCGTTGGCGCCCGTGATCTTGCCGTTGACGGGGGACAGTGTGTAGAAGATCTCGTCATAGGTGGGCTTGTCTTTGCCCACCACCCACTCGACGTCATCAATGCCCTCGCCGGCCCCCTCACCGTAGCCGTGCCCGAAGGGCCCGTTCATGGTACCATCAAAGGCGCCGCCCTTGACCACCTGGGAAGGCATCAGGGACTCCTCCTGCCGCACCATCACCATCAGCCGTGCGATGTCGTTGGCCAGCATGTCGTCCACCGTGTCCAGCAGCTTGGGCTTCAGGGCCTGGAACTTGTTGAAGTCCTGAGTCTGCAGGAGTTCCTGTGGGTGGGGAAGGAAGCACAAGGGCTGGGAAGGGTGGCCCCTCCCAGACTCCCTGCCAAATGGTTCCAGCGAGGGCTCTACAAGCAGAAAGTGCTGCTCCCTGACACTAGCCGGGGTGACTCAATGAACCCCTCTGGGCCTTGGCTCCCTAACCTGTACACAGGAGGCAACTCCAGCTCTTTCCTGGCACAGCTTCGGCAAGGATTAATGGACAGGGCACCAGAGTGCCTGGCATGGCCCTGCCCTCCCCCCAACATGCAGGGTGAGTCACCACATTCCCCTCTGCGGTGTCACAGCCTGGGTCAGCTCTGAGTTGGGTGGGGTGCTGGTGATTAACCCAGCTGCTTCCGTTTGGGGAGGCCCTTCCCCATGGAGATGGGATTCCCTCCAAATCCAGTGACCCAGGCCTTCCTCCTGCCCTGATGGCTGCCAGCCCACATAGGGCCTTGGGACAGCTGTACCTGCATCTTGCGGAGGCTTGGGAAGTCACCGGGGGAGATCTGGTGCTCACGCTCGATCTTCTGGTAGATCTCTCCCAGGTTGTTCACCAGCTCTTTCTTTTTGCTCTCTTTCCCAAAGACATTGGGCATCTCCTTCTTGAGGGAGCTGATGATGTAGGCATGAACCTGTGAGGACGGGGGCAGGCATCAGGCGCTTTCTTGTCACATGCCCTGGCTGCTTCTAAGACCAGGGCCTCCAAGGACACTACAAGGTGCTCGCTCAGGAACAGGGAAGGGGAGGGGATGGGTCAAGCTGAAGGCCGCTGCCACCGCCAGCTCCCACTGGCCTAGGAGCAGACAGTCTGGCAGAGGCACAGCTGCTCATTGCCACAGGGCAGAGGGCAGGACAGAAAAAGCCACTTCCAACAAAAGACAACAGCCTTGGTCTTGCATGGATCACCATCACCGTGATGCCCCAGGGATAGTAGAACCAAGTTTGTCAACTGAAAGAAGGCCGTTTGTTGTGCCCCACTGGGAACGTTGCATACCCTCCATTCAATCCTCACTGCAGCCCTGTGGGGTGCGATTCCCCCAACCCTGGCCCTCTGAACGGCTGGGAAAGGCTGCCTGGGGCACTTGGCTCCCGTACGGAGGAGCTGGGATTGGAACTCAGGGCTGCTGAAGGTGGCCCACAGCCCACGTTCCTTCTGTTTCTCTGCAAGCCCCCTTCCCTGCAGCTGCCCCCTCCCACACAGCAGAGTGGGGAGCAGGCTTCCTGCAGGGCCGACCAGCCTGCACCTGCAAATCCCAGCCACATGTGGGTGGAGCCCACTGAACTCCAATGGGCCCTAGCCTGCTCCATGCCATCATCACAGCTCCGATGACGAAGGGTTTGAAAAATCCCATAAAGGCTTCTGGCGGTTGCCAGCTTTATCCAAGCTTCAATACCTTGCTTAGACATGTGCCAGTTCAGGGCAGCACCCCCTTCATTTCCTGGGAGTGAGTTGAGAACCTGGCAGCCCTGAGAGCAGCCCAGCCCTCAGATCCCTCAGCTTTGCCAAGTTGCCTCCAGCCACGGAGGGCCAGCCAGCCTCGATGCCCTTCTCCCCGGCTCCAGCCCGTCCACCTCCCCACTCAGCTTCAGCCTTCTGCCCTGGCTGGGGGCCTGGCTGAGAACTGCCTGAGGGAAGCAGCCCCATACCATGTGGGTCTGGATCTAGGGTCTCCCAGGGACACAGTGGCAGACAGGTCCCAGGCCAGTGGGAGTCACCACAGACAGCACCACTCAGTCCAGGAAAAGGAAACGGCAGGTGTGAGGGAACACTGGAGGCCACGGGATTTTCCAGGTGCGGTGACTCAGCATGCCTGGGGCCCGGCAGTCACACACTATCTCACGGATGACCACGCAGGGGCCCATGCCTGCCCCTTGTCCTGTCTGTCCTGGAAGGTGGCTGAGCAGGGGAGCTCTCTCTGCCCTGCAAGGAGAGGGGCTCTGCTAGGGCCACACCCCTCAGCTCCGGACATCCTTTGTCCTTTGAGGCTGGGGTCACTCACAGGGGTTTTCACATGGGTCCTCTCTCAGAGCTGGCTCCACTCACAGGGAAGCTCCAGAAGGGAGATAGAAAAATACCCGGCCAGCCGGCATGGTGGCTCACACCTGTAATCCCAGCACTCTGGGAGGCTGAGGCAGGCAGATCACCTGAAGTCAGGAGTTTGAGACCAGCCTGATCAACATGGTAAAACCCTGTCTCTACTAAAATATAAAAATAGCCGGGCGTGGTGGCGCACACCTGTAGTCCCAGCTACCGGGAGGATCAGGCAGGAGAATGGCTTGAGCCTGGAGGCGGAGGTTGCAGTGAGCCAAGATCGCACCACTGCACTCCAGCCTGGGCAACAGAGTAAGACTCCATCTCCAAAGAATAAAAATAAGAAAAGCACACAGCCCTGTGTCTTCCATAGCAGGCACCTGACCTGTGCCTGCCCATGCACGCAGCTCACAGGTCTCAGGCCAGAATTCGGACTCCTCATCTGCAGGGTGAGGTGGGGCCCAGGGTACTTGGGGCACAAGGGGAGGACAGTGGTGGCAAAGGATGAAGGGTCAGCTCTCACCGCTCAGGCCAGGCAGCACCCACATGCCCTCTGACTGGCCTTGAGATAGTGTGGGCATGAGGGCGGCTGTGCTCCATGCCTGCGGAGTCTCCATGACTCTGAGCAAGCAGGGGCATGGGCTCCCCAGGAGGTGCCCACCCTCAGTCCTCAGTTACACTCTGGACATCAGGGGACTGTGACCCTAGCCACAGGTATGGCTGCCACTGAAGCCTTAATGCCCACACAACATCTGCCCTGGTACTCCCTGCATGCCACAAGGTGGGGGCAAGCACCCCGCTCTCTGTGCTGTCTCACCCAAGAACCCGGGGCTATCACCAAAGGGCCTGCCTTGGCAGGCAGGACACCTCCTCAGCCATGCTCTGGCCTGGCCTGGAGATAGAAGCTATAGCAAGGGCCTTAAAAAAATTTTTTTTTTTAATTAAATAGAGCAGAGTCTCACTAGGTAACACCAGCTCAGGCTGGCCTTGAACTCCTGGCCGTAAGGGATCTTCCTGCTTTGGCCTCCTAAAGTGCTGGGATTACAGGTGTGAGCCACCATGCCTGGCGAGAGCCTATTTCCTTTCTTTTTTTTTTTTTTTAAGATGGAGTTTTGCTCTTGTTACCCAGGCTGGAGTGCAATAGCATAATCTTGGCTTACTGCAACCTCCGCCTCCCAGGTTCAAGCGATTCTCCTGCCTCAGCCTACCGAGTAGCTGGAATTACGGGCATGTGCCACCACGCCTGGCTAATTTTTGTATTTTTTTAAATAGAGATGGAGTTTCTCCATGTTGGTCAGGCTGGTTTCAAACTACTGACTTCAGGTGATCCGCCTGCCTTGGCCTCCCAAAGTGTTGGGATTACAGGCATGAACTACTGTGCCCAGCCGCCTATTTCTTTTTTTGAGACAGAATCTTGCTCTGCTGCCCAGGCTGGAGTGCAATGGCACAATCTTGGCTCACTGCAACCTCTGCCTCCTATGTTCAAGCGATTCTCCTGTCTCAGCCTCCTGAGTAGCTGGGATTATAGGCACATGCCACCACACCCAGCTAATTTTTGTATTTTTTTTTAGTAGAGATGGAGTTTTGCTGTGTTGGCCAGGCTGGTCTCAAACTCCTAACCTCAGGTGATCTGCCCATCCACCTCAGCCTCTCAAAGTGCTGGGATTACAGGCATGAGGCACCGAGCCTGGCTGGAGCCTATTTCTTAAACAACTGAGCTTTGTGCTAAGAGTCGGAAAGAACAGCTGGGTGCCCTGCTAAGATACGAGTGTGGACTTGGTCACTTCTCAGCTTTTCAGACAGTCTGTGTCAAGCAGTCCTGTCCACGGGTCAACCCCAACCATAACCGAGACTGTCACTCATGGTGACTCATCTAGGCCAGCCCACGGCAAGGTGCTATTCAAAGTCAGACACCATAAGGGCATGTACTCTGTCACTCTGTGTTGGGAGCGTCTGCTGGTGGCATCAACCTTAGTTTCCTAGACCCAGCCACGCTGGCTCTCACTCAAGTACTTGGTCAGCCACTAACATTCCAAACCCTTCGGCCACTCAGAGGCTGCTGCTAAGTGCCGCTAGGCCTGGGCTGCCAGGAGGGGTGAGGATGGTCTGCGAGGCCTGCTGGACTGACACTGCCTCAGCGTGACCCTGGCTTCAGTGCCCAGTGCTCCCTGGGCTATAGGCTGGCACCCCATCGCCTCAAGAGCTGCTTCCTGTCGCAGCTTAAGTCTCAGCTCCTGCAGGGCCCTCCCCAGCCCCTCCACCCCACCGAGACAGCCCCCAGCACTGGCTCCTGCAGCAGCCTGAGCTCACTCTGAGATGACACAAATAACTGATGCGTATTTTTTGTTCATGTCTCCGTTTTCCCCATGAAGGCTGATGAGTGAACAGGGGCGGTGGATGGGAGACACCATGTCCCCGGTGTCCAGCACCATGCTGAATATACTTCAGGCTCAATAAACCCCAGATGGGTGGGTAATCCCAGCACTTTGGGAGGCCGAGGCGGGCGCATCACCTGAGGTCGCATCACCTGAGGAGTTTGAGACCAGCCTGGCCAACATGGTGAAACCCCATCTCTAATAAAAGTACAAAAAGTAGCCGGGTGTGGTGGCAGGTGCCTGTGACCCCAGCTACTCGGGAGGCTGAGGCAGGAAAATTGCTTGAACCTGGGAGGTGGAGGTTGCCACGAGTCAGGATAGGGCCACTGCACTCGAGCCTGGGCAATGGATCGAGACTTCGTCTCAAAAACAAAAAACCCCAGAGGGAAGCCAACAAGCCTCAGAGCTCTATCCCCCAGCACCCCCATTTCTGAGGCTCTCTCCTTTGCTTCTGCAGCAACTTCCTGTGTGCTGTTTCTGTGTTGTAAGCATAGTCAAACCCTTCTTGGCATAGTTGGGGTATAAACCACAAACAGAACAAGTTAAGAAGGAGGCTGGGTGGAGAATCTTAGTTAAAAGCAGGCTGCACTCTGGTGCTGACCAAGGACTGGTTTCTGCACACAGAAACTGCGAAGGGCAGGTCTGCCTGAGCAGTGAGCTGGGATGGGTCTTGGGCAGTCCTGGGACCCTCAGTGCCAGTCTCAGAGCCCCACCGCCCTGCCTGGCAATAGGCCGCTCCCCTCACCCAGGGCCTACCTTGGCCAGCCGCGCCCGCTTGATCAGGTCATTGAGCTTCCTGAGGGCAGCGTTTCGGGGCAGAGACTGGATGTCCTTGAAGAGGTCCTGCTCCTCGGCCTCAAAGAGCTTGCGGTTGTCGGGGATGAGGAGCGGGTGGGACCAAAAGGAGCCGATGTAGACTCTGACCACCTCAGGGGTGTTGATGATCTTGCCCAGGGACCACATGAGGGCCCCGTACACCCGCATCAGCTGCTGCGTCTCGATCTGGTCTGCCTTGTTCAATACCACGCGGATCTTGTCCTCGTGGTTCTTCAGAGCCTTGATCACTTCCGAGAACTCATCAGAGATGTCCAGCTTATGGGCATCGAAGAGCAGGATGATGCGGTCCACCCGCTCGGCGAACCACTCCAGGACAGCTGCAAAGTCATAGCCTGGGGAGAGAGAAGGGAGAGCTCAGGGGCGCCAAGGGACCCGCTGCTCTGATGGTTCTCATCTCTAACCTGGCCTGGTATTTCTCAGCCTGAGATCGTTTTTGAAATTCCTAGAAGGGGCCAGCATGGTGGCTCACGCCTATAATCGCAGCACTTTGGGAGGCCGAGGTGGGCAGATCATGACGTCAAGAGATGGAGACTGTACTGGCCAACATAGTGAAACCTCGTCTCTACTAAAAATACTAAAATTAGCCGAGCGTGGTGGTGCGTGCTCGTAGAACCCAGCCACTTGACAGGCTGAGGCAGGAGAATCGTTTGAACCCAGAGACAGAGGTTGCAGTAAGCCAAGATTGCACCATTGCACTCCAGCCTGGGCAACAGAGTGAGACTCCATCTCAAAAAAAAAAAAGATTCCTAGAAGGCACTCATCTAGACGGTACAGCACCCTGAAGGCAGGATCACCTTCCCTGTTCCTGCCCCCGCCACAACACTCGCCGACCCATGTAGCACCTGCCGTAAACACGTGCTAATGCAAAAGTTGTCCCACAGTCCAAGCTCTAAAGTGGGTTGGACAAGGGCAAGAGTGAGGAGGAGACCTAGCACTGTGCTCAGCATGGCACAGAGGGTAGAACACAGACTCCAGTGTTGCCACCTGCCAGCTGTGTGCCCTGGGATGGCCGTGACAAGAGGCGCCTGCAACAGTAAGTGCTGCTGCTCCTCATTCAGTGTGGATGTGCCAGGCTTCCCAGTTTGCAGGGATCTCACTTATTTTCTGCAACAAAGGTTGGCAAACTACAGCTCCGGGATCAAACATGGCCCACCACCTGTTTATGTAAATAAAGTTTTATTGAAACAAAGCCATGCTCATTTGTATTATCCATGGCTTCTTTTGTCTGACACAGCAGAGTTCAGTCATTGTGACAGAAACTATAAGGTCTGCAAAGCTGGAAGAATTAACTATCTGACCTTACAGAAAAAGTTTGCTGACCTCTGCTCTACAAGAAAAGCAACCCAGGAAGTGCTACAAACCACTTCCCCTTCCTGGGTCTTAAATACTTCTCCAAAGAAGTGGCTGGACTGGATAGACTCCAGCTTTAAGCTCTACAGTCTTTCTTTGGTTTTTAATTTTATATTCATTTTTTCAGAGACAGGGTTTTGCTCTGTCACTGGGGCTGAAGCACAGTGGCACAGTCTTGGCTCACTGTAACCTTGAACTCCTGGGCCCAAGCCACCCCCCACCTTAGAGTCCTGAGTAGCTGGGACTACAGGCATGTGCCACCATGTCTAGCAAATTGTTAAATTTTTATTTTGTAGAGGTGGGGGTCTCATTAAGTTGTCTACGCTGAACTCCTGGGCTCAAGAGAGCCTCCCACCTCAGCCTCCCAAAGTTCTGGGAAGACAGACCTGGGCCAGCATGCCTGGATTCTAAACTCTATTCTATATTGCTTCCTACCAACCTGTTACGGCCCAGTGAAGGCCCAGCAATTAAAGTGAACTCTGTCGCCTGTGGCAGACTGCTCGTTGGAATTCCATCTAAAGGAGGAACTAGACATAACTATCTAGTTTCAGCTGGATTCGTGGCCTCGCAGCTTGAGACTGCATTTCCCAGCATCCCTTGCAGCAGAAAAGAACAAGAAAAGGTGCATGAGCCCTTTGTTGTCTTCTCCCTCCTGAGGACTGGGACGCAGGCGTGATGGGAGGAGCCGGAGCAAGCACCCCGTGTTCAGAGATGAAAGCTGCATGTTCAGAATGGCCTTGGACTATTGCTTTTCACATAGACTATCAGATATCTGACTTAAGCCAGTGAGTTTTGGGTTCTGTAACCGAGGTTTAATTGGAATCCTGTTTGACAACCAGGCCTCTTCAAAAATATTTCCACTTCGGCCTGGGCAACATGGTGAAATCCCATCTCTACAAAGGTGGTGCAGGCCTGTAGTCCCAGCTACTTGGGAGGCTAAGGCAGGAGGATAACCTGCACCCAGGAGGTTGAGGCTGCAGTGAGCCACGATCACGCCACTGCACTCCAGCCTGGGTGACACAGTGAGACCACCTCAAAAACAAAACAGAACAGCCAGGTGCGGTGGCGCACACCTGTAATCCCAGCACTTTGGGAGGTTGAGGCAGGTGGATCATGAGGTCAAAAGTTCAAGATCCAGCCTGGCCAAGATGGTGAAACCCCTTCTCTACTAAAAATACAAAAAATTAGCTGGGCATGGTGGCACATCCCTGTAGTCCCAGCTACTAGGAAGGCTGAGGTAGGAGAACTGCTTGAAGCCAGGAGGTGGAGGTTGTAGTGAGCCAAGACTGCACCACTGAGCTCTAGCCTGGCGACAGAGCAAGACTCCTTCTCAAAAAACAAAACAAAACAAAAAAATCCACACCTCTTCCTCTGCCCCTAGAGTAAAACTTCTCTGTCCCTCATGGTCTAGGAAGAGTAAGGAGTGACAGGCAGGCTGTGTTGAAACAAAGGCCTGGAGTCCTGGAGAGGGGCCACATCCTCTCTGGCTGATTCTGGGCCAGCCTCCGTGTCCCTGGCTCAGTGGCTCAGTCTTCCCACATGTCTCAGGTCACCCAAATGTAGGCCAGCCCTCTTCAGAAGCACCAAGTACTTCCCAGAGAGCAGCCAGGCTCTGGAAATGAGCTGGAGAAGCCACTCCTGCACGGGACAGTCAGGATTGCCCAACTCAGACCCAAACCCTTTCTCACCCCCACAGCCTGCTCCCAGCATCTCCGTGAAAAACACTCACCACCCCCTCACCAAACTGGGGATGGAGACAGGCGCTCTCTAGACTGAGAGGGACAGAAAAGCAGCAGCGAGGCAGGAGCTCCAGGGACAAAGCATCAAGGAAAAGTGGCATCTGGGCAAGGTCACTCACAGTGATGGGAGGCCAGCCCTGCCATCCCCAGTGGGAACCTGCTGCTGACTGTTCCACTGCATGGGGCCCCCTTGGTGGCATCCACTGCTCCCACCCTGTGAAGCCCTCCAGGGGGAAGGCAGGTCCACAGCCCTGGCTCCCAGAGAGGCTGCCTCCACGCACAAGTGCGCCAAGATAAACAGCACCATGCAGTGTACAGGGTTGAGCTTATTCGTGTGATAAACACTCCCACTGCTGGCCCCACGCCCAAGCGTGCTTGGCGCCATCTGTAAGCCCAAAGCCACGGGGCACGGAGCCCCTCCCCAAACCTGGCATTCCCAGAGGGAACTCGGGCCACTAAATAAGATGGCTCTGCACTCCACTCCCAGCCCCTGCCACCGACTCTGTGGCCTGCCTTCTCAGTTACTTTCTCCATCTGTGAAACTTAAATACCAATTCCTCGACCTGGCACAGGGAGGAGGGCGTGTGGGAGCACTGGGCCCCCAGCCCAGGACCCAGCAGGGAGGGCCTCCCCGTCGGCAGGCTGGGGCAGGGGAAGCCAGGGCTCTGTGGAAACAAGGGGCCAGCAGCCTGGGACCCATCACCAGGCAAAGACTTTCATTCTTGAGCAAAGTCACCAGAACGTACAGAAAATCCCAAATCCGTGGCTTCAGCCATACTGCCATGCAGCCTCCCCATAGATGATGTGCGACTACTCCCCACCCCAGCCCAATAGGAAATCGGGTGCTTGAGGGCCAAGCTTCTTAACAGGGAGGGGTGCAGGGAGCTGGGGTCCTGGCTATCAGCCCGGGCAAGGAGGCCTGCCCAGCCTTCCAGAGGCTCAGGTGGATGGTCGGAGATAGCAGACCTGCCAGGTTCCCTGAGCCCAGAAGGTGTGGGAGGGCATCATGCCAGGGCACCTCATGCTACCACAGGCTCCTGCTTCCAAAGTACAAGGCCCTGGGAGCCTGGACTCTCTGCAGCTGGCTCCAAGCTCCACAGGAGGGGATGCCTGGGGGGTGAAGTCTCAGCAGAAAGCCAGAAAGAGAGGCCAAGGGCAAAGTGAGGGAAGCAGGGGCAGGGAGAGGTTGCCTCTGTCCCCGGGGCCACCAGGCCACACTGGCTGAGCCTGCAGGGCCTCCCTGGGGCCCACAGCGCACAGCCTTTTATGGCCAGCTCTGGGAACGCAGGTCAGTGCTGAAAAGACGATGACTCAAGGGCTGAGGCTCCTCGCTCAGTAAAAGGGGGGCCCAGCTTCTCCCCTCCTCAAACCGTTTGTCCTCAGCCCGCCACAAGCTGAAACTAGAATTCACACAGCTGGGGAGGCGGTGATGCCAAAACCAAGTTCTTGGGAACAGGGGCGCCCTGATGGGCTGTGCTTGGCTGTGTTAGCTTTGGCCTCGGAGTCAGGACAGTGCCTGGGGAGCTGAGGTCACCCTCCCAAACTCCACCCAGCAAGGCCCCACTCCCACCTCCCCCTGGATGGCTGGGGGACCCTGGGAAAGAGAGAAAAAGGAGAAGGAAGAGTGAGCACTCTAAAACTCCCTGCCCCCCACCCCGTCCAGGAGCCCCGCCCCACCTGCCCCAAAACCCATGTCTCAAGTTGGAGTCAACAGAGCTAAGCCCGTTTTTTTGCAGGTGAATAAAATTTCCTGTTTATTATAGAAAATGCTCTTTTCCTGTCAGGGAAACACAGTGACTGGCTAGCTACACCCACAGGTGACAAAAAGGGCCACAACACTTGGGCCTGGGCCACACAGGCATGTGACCACGTGACTACAAGCCCCACCAGGCCCACCTGCGCTCCTTAGCCCACCAGGCCCCCATTGCCCTTAAAGGCACCGGACTCAGCCTTAAAGACGCCGGGTTTCACGAAGCGCCAAAGGCTACACCGCACAGTGGTAGCTCGAGCCACTCTCAATCAGAGCTGGGTGGCCGGTGACAAGTACAGAACAGGGTCGGCCAGCACCCCGGCACTGGCCAAAGCAACGAGCCTTCAGAGTTTGGAACGCATCAAGGCCAGCTGGGAGTCCGACACCACCTAATGCAACAGCAATTCCCAACAGCAAAAGCAGGAAGTTGTGTGTGCTGGGTGAGAGAGTACAATGTCCCCTCTAAGGTAGGGGCCTGCTATTAGCTTGACAGGCTCAGACCCCGGTGGGAGTCACCGAACTGACACCTAGCAAAAGGACACAGAAAACATGGCCCAATCGGGTGGGCTGGAGAGGAAGGCCCACCTGCAAAGGGAGTGGTTTCAGCGAGTGAAAGCCAGAGCACCTCTGATGAGGGATCATGAGCCACGAGGAAGCTCTGGCTCAGAAAATCCCGGGACCTGGAAGACATGACGCTAAGTGGTGAAATAAGCCTGTCCAAGGAAGACACACACGCAGCCAACACGCATATGAAAAAATACTCAACATCACCAATCATTAGAGAAATGCAAATCAGCTTTTGCGGGTGGCGGCGAGCGTGAAGAGAACACCATGAAGGCTTCGGGCACACTACGAGAGTACAGGGTGGTGGGTCGCTGCCTGCCCACCCCCAAATGCCACACACCGCCCCTCTACTGCATGCGAATCTTTGCACCTAATCATGTTGTCGCCAAGTCCGGCTTCTGGTACTTCGTGTCTCAGTTGAAGAAGATGAAGAAGTCTTCAGGGGAGATTGTCTACCTTGGGCAGGTGTTTGAGAAGTCCCCTCTTCGGGTGAAGAACTTCGGTATCTGGCTGCGCTATGACTCCCGGAGCGGCACCCACAACATGTACCGGGAATACTGGGACCTGACCACTGCAGGCGCTGTCACTCAGTGCTGCCCGGCACCGCGCCCGGGCCCACTCCATCCAGATCATGAAAGTGGAGGAGATCGCAGCCAGCAAGTGCCGCCGGCTGGCCCTCAAGCAGTTCCACGACTCCAAGACCAAGTTCCCGCTGCCCCACCGCGTCCTGCGCCGTCAGCACAAGCCACACTTCACCACCAAGAGGCCCAACACTTTCTTCTAGGTGTGGGGCCCTTTTTTCGCCCAGGTGTGCCCCAAATAAACTCAGGAATGCCCCGGTGGAAAAAAAAAAAAAAAGAAATGCAAATCGAACCACAATGAGACACCATCTCATACCAGTCAGAATGGCTATTATTAAAAAGCCTAAAAATAACAGATGCTGGTGAGGTTGTAGAGAAAGGGAACATTTACACACTACTGGTGGGAACGTAAGCCAGCTCAGCCTCTGTGGAAAGCAGCTTGGAAATTTCTGAAAGAACTTAAAACAGAACTACCATTCGACCCAGCAATCGCATTACTGGGCACCCTAAAGAATTGATACCCTAAAGGATACCAATCACTCTACCATAAGGACACATGCACACATACGTTGATCATGGCACTATTCATGATAGCAAAGACTGAATCCGCATAAATACTCATCTACAGTAGACTGGATAAAGAAAACGTGGTACAGGCCGGGACGGTGGCTCATGCCCATAATCCCAACACTTAGGGAGGCTGAGGTGGGGAGATCATGAGGTCAGAAGATCAAGACCATTCCGGTTATCATAGTGAAATCCCGTCTGTACTAAAAATACAAAAACGATTAGCCAGGTGTGGTGTGCACCTGTAGCCCCATCTACTCGGGAGGCTGAGACAGGAGAATCGCTTGAACCCGGGAGGCGCAGACTACGGTGAGCCAAGATCGCACCACTGCACTCCAGCCTGGGTGACAGAGCAAGACTCTGTCTCAAAAAAGGAAGAAGAAAACATGGTACATATACAACATAGAATACTATGCAGCCATAAAAAGGAACCAGATCATGTCCTTTGCAGCAAGATGGACAGAGCTGGAGGCCATTATCCTCAGCAAACTGACACTGGAACAGAAAACCAAACACTGCACGTTCTCACTTATCCATGTGCGCTAAACATCGAGTACACATGGAAACAATGAAGAGAAGCACTGACACCGGGGCCTACTTGAGGGTGTGGACAGAAAAACCGCCTATCAGGCTGGGCACGGTGGCTCACACTTGTAATCACAGCACTTTTGGAGGCTGAGGCAGGAGGACTGTTTGAGCCCAGCCTGGACAACATAATGAGACCCTCCTCTCTACAAAAATTTAAAAATTAGCTGGGTGTAGTGGCATGCATCTGTATTCCCAGCTACTTGGGAGGCTGAGGTAAGAGGATTGTTTGGGCCAGGGAGGCTGAGGCTACAGTGAACTGTGATTGTGCCACTGCACTCCAAGCCTGGGTGACAGAACGAGACCCTGTCTCCAAAAAAGAAAAAGAAAAAGAAAACAAAAATGACCTATCCAATACTATGCTTGTTACCTGGGTGACGAAATAATCTATATGCCAAACCTCACAACACTGCATTTACCCAAACAACAAACCTGTGTATGTATCCCCGAACCTAAAACCAAAGTTTCTTTAAAACGTCCTGTCACGGAAGGACGGCTATGGCACCGCAGGATTCCACTTACAGGAGATACCAGGATAATCAAGTGCACAGAAAAGGAACACAGACGGGGGCGTGCAGGGGCTGCGGGGCACAGGGAGCGGGGAGGGGAGCTGGTGTTCAACAGGAAGGGTTTCCAATTGGGAAATGAAGAGTCTGGAGCTGGGTGGTGGTGACGTGCTAAATGCCACGGAACTGCACACCTAAAAAGAGTTAAAATGGGCCGGGTGTGATGGTTCACACCTGTAATCCCAGCACTTTGGGAAGCCAACATGGGTGGATCACCTGAGGTCGGGGGTTCAAGATCAGCCTGGCCAACATGGTGAAACCCCATCTCTACTAAAAATACAAAAATTAGCCAGGCGTGGTGCTGTGCACCTATAATTCCAGCTACTTGGGAGGTTAGGGCAGGAGAATCACTTGAACCCAGGAGGCGGAGGTTGCAGTGAGCCAAGATCGCGCCATTGCACTCCAGCCTGGGTGACAGAGTGAAACTCCATCTCCAAGAAAAAAAAAGGCTAAAATGGTAAATATTATATGTTAGGTGTATTTTATCACAGTTTTTAAAAGACAGAAACGAAAAGTCCTGGGGTGTGGGATGAGAGAACAGGGTGGCTCTCGGCAACCAGGCTGGGCCAAGTGTGGCGCCTCAGGACAGGGGCCTCTCATGGTGAGCTGGGTCCCGCCGGGCCTCCTCTGGGGGGACCTGCCTTCCTGACTACAGCCCAACCATGCTTCCCACCCCAGCACAGAAGGGGAAGAGGGAGGTTCTCTGGCCTCCACACCCTACTCCAGCAGCCTCCAAAACACAGGTAGTTCCAGCCGCTGGGGGAAAAGCTGCTTTATACATTCCAAAGTTTTCTAGAACATGAAACAATGGAGGGTTTGTCTCCAATCGACTTTGGTTTCCTGTCATTCAAGCCCCATGGGCTTCAGTATTTGTCACCCTAGCTCTCCATCACACAGGCTCCCAACGCGTGCTGCGGGGGCCCAGGAGAACAATACAGAGACCCAGGAACGAAGAGGAGTCTGCACCTGAGAGCTCGTTCCTGGGCTGCTTCAGGCTGACGCGCCTCTGGAAGGGTTTTTCAGCAGAGCGCAGAGGCACCCCCATTCCTCAGCATTTACCTGAGAGCAGCACACGTCCACACAAAGCACAAACTTGACTCAAGACTGCCCCAAGATGGAACAAGCCAAGCGCCCCCTACAGGTTATGGATGACAACTGATGGGAAAGAGCCCCCGACGAAGAGGAGCAGGCCACAGGCATTCTCAAACACCCAGATGCAGCTCAGAAGCAGCCTGCTAGGTGAAGGCAGAAGTGACAGGCTTCAGCCTGTGTGATTCCATTTAGGTGACATTCCGGAAGAGGCGAAAGTTAGAGACAAAGGTCAGTGGGCTGCCTAGGACCAGGAGCGACTGTGAGGGGCACAGGAACTTTCGGGTGATGAGAATACTCTATCGTGGCAGTGGCAGCCCAGGAATGCTTTGTAGAGCAGGACACATGAGGAGGGTGGGCTTTGCTACACACCATGTAGACCCCAGCACATCAGACACAAGCAGCAAAGGAGGGACGGGAGGGGGCAGAGGAGCTCTGGAATCAGGCCCACATTTCCATCCTGAACCTTCTACTCAACAACCAGCTGCATGGCCCAGCAGGCCTCTGGCCTCTCGGAGCCTCAGTTCCCAGCTTCAGTCTGTACCGTGAAAACAGTAGGTTTCCAGCTCAGAGGGCGAGGGAGGAGGGAGTGCGCCTGGCACGCTGTGAGCAGGAGTAAATGTTTGTTCTTATTTACTCCCAGGATTTGCATTTTGGGCTTAAGAAGCTCAGATTCTGATGGGTGTGTAGGCAAGGACTTCAAAGGCATGAGGAATGCCTCATCCCCAGAATATAAACGGAATGTTTGCAGGCGCTTGGCCAGCTGCTCCCCAACCCGCCACCAGCACGCAGCCTGAGAAACAGGTGTCGAGCGCGGGCAGCGCCTGGTACGCCTCCTCCTCGGCAGAGCCTGTGCGCCCCCAGCAGAGGCTGCGGCCAAAAGCTGTCCTGGCATCCTAGCCTGCTGGGCCACAGAGGGAGGGCACAGCCAGGTGGGGTGGGCAGAGGACTTCCGGAGGCCTGGAGCTGGGAGCAAAGGAGGGCCTGGAACCAAATGGGAAACCCCAGTTGAGTCAGCACTGTGCTGAGGATATTCCCCAGGATGTTACTCAGATCAAAGTCTGGGAAGCCCTGGGTTTTTCCGTCTCTTTACTAGCAACCAGCTGACACTTAAACACTTAATTGTGTCCCAGGTGCTAGGGCAAGAGCTTAACATGTAAATTCTGGTAATCCACAATAACCCGAGAGGCTGCGGTGCTTCCTGATGGACGGATGCAGCTCAAGGGGCCACAACAACTCCCTAGAGCCACTCGGCTCCTCAAGTACTGACGTGGGATTTGAACCTTCTGATCTACCTGTGCTGTGGACGCTGAATCCAAGAGGGACACAGCATCTGGCCTGGCTCATGGCCTTTGGACCGCCCCTGGGAGCATTCGATGGTCTGCAGAGCACCCTGGTGAAACCCTGCCATGGGGGGCTGCTGCCAGTGGCATCTCCATCTTGGGAGGTATTGGCAGGAAGTGGGGGCTGCCCACGGTGCAGGCCCACCTCTGGGCCAGAGGGCTCAGGCCACACAGGTGGGAGTGTGGGCAGGGAGGCTCCATCCAACCACTAAGGATCAGAACAACTCCCAGGCTTAGAGGGAGCCTGCAGACCAGCAGGGCAAGTGAGAGCCCAGGGGACCAGGCTCCCTGGATAGCCTGAGGGGTCATTTGTGGCTGGAGACAGGGAACAGGGAAAGGGAAGACGATACCAGACCTCAGGTCCATTTCAGGACTGCAGTCTAACCTTGGGCAGGAGAGAAGCAGAGGGCGGCCTCTGTGCATCTCAGGAGGCCCAAAAGAGGCAAAGATCTGTCTGACCCGAGTTCTCGGCACTCCTTCACCCACAGCCTTCATGCCAAGGCCCCGTTCTCAGTCCTGCCGCAGTAGGAGCACAAACCCTGCCTGGGTTCAAATCCTAGTGCTGACACTTGCTGGCCTGGCTGTCATCTTAGGCCAATTACTTAAATTTCCTAAGCCTCTGCTTCCTCCTCTGAAAGGCAGGACCTTCTCCTAGATGCAGCTGCTGTATAACTCACTGACGTGGCAGTGGCCAGCAGAAAGTCAGACACAAAGCTGGCCAGGTTTCTCATCTGCTACTGCAAGTTAAAACAACACTCCCCTGCTGCTACAGCTTCCATGGGGAGACTGAGGCACAAAAACTCCCGGTTAGCTCACAGTTGCCTAGTGACCACAATGGGGAACAAACTGGCTGGGCTGTCCACAGAGGCCCCACCGGGGATGACTCGGCACCCAGGCCCTGAGGGGACCATGCAGTTGGTCGGCAGCCCGTGAAGCCAAGGGCACTAGCCCTGCTGTGCCCAACTGCCCTTTGGAATGCCCTTATCAGTCACACAGGCAGCACTCAAGAATAAGTGCAGCCCCCACAGGCCACCTCTCTCTGCTGACATAGGACAATATTATCTTTAAAGTCACTCAGCTTAGCACACAGGCAAAGGCAGCCCAAGAGACCCCAACCCAGCCCGCTTCTCCTCACTGAGGCGATCCTCAGGGGTCCCTGACAGAGCGCAGCTGCCTCCTGACCACTTTGGGCCTGCACCAGCCCACTTTATCTTTCTAGACTGTGTTTCCTGCATAGACTAGGACCATGGGGAAAGGGGAAAAAAAGTCAGGAGGGGTCAGGCAGGGCCAGACACGGCGGGAAATGGAAGTAAATGCAATTAGCCACCCCAATGTCCATCCATGGCCTCCACAAGGACATGTTTCCAGGGAATGGGCTGGCAGGCCAGGGGAGGCGTGTCGCACTGGGGCCCACATGCTCTGCAGGTCCTATCTTTCTGAGAGGGAAACACCTGCTTTCCATGCCAACGGCAAAAGCAGTGGTAGGCGGCCAGCCCTGTTGGGAATGCACTGCTCCGCTCTGACTTCCTCCGCTGGTCAGGCCACATGGGCCTTTCCATCACTGATGGGCGGGGCAGGAAAGAGAAATCCACTCCTCCTGTGTCTACCTGGGGTTCTCTTCCTGGAGTTTATACCCAGCACCTCAAAGAGGTACCCAGTGATGGTCTTTCTCTTGACAATAAAACACCAACATCAAACCCTAACCAGGTAACTTTTAGTAAAATACATCTAAACCAAGGCCACTAGGGCTATGGAGGAAAAGAAATGTCTAGTAAAATCGGTTTGATCTCTAGCAGGAAACCTCTCTTCCAATCAGAGGGATGTACTTCTCTTTCAGCCCCTGCCTCCTTCCTGCCCATAATGGGCAGAGATGACCTTCTGTGGATATAGGGGAGCCTGACCTCTCAAGGACACAGAGGAGCCACACTTTGCACCTGGAGGGGACAGGGAGGTCACACAGGCAGAGCATGACAGCACACTGACAGCAGCCTCGTGTCCTGCTGGCTTGCTCCCCCACCTGTCATCTGCATAGGCAACTCCAGGGTGGGGACCACAAGGTAATGCGCATGTCCACCCCTTGCTCCCAATCAAAATGCCATGTTGTGTCTGAGATCTACTGAAATGGAGAGTACACTTCAGTGCTTGTCCCAGAGACAGCCAGTGTAAACACCTGTGCCTGCCTCTTTCCTACCATGGAAAGGAAGCAGAGGGATTAGGAGGTAGGGAGGGAGTGTCTCAGAGGGCAGGGCCAAAGCAAGCAACACAAGACATACAACCACAGCCAAGCGTGGTGGCCTGCACCTGCGGGCCCAGCTACTTGGGAGACTAAGGTGGAAGGATCGCTTGAGCCCAGGAGCTCAAGGCTGCAATGAGCTAGGGTCACACCACTGTACTCCTGCCTGAGTGAGACCCTGTCTCTAAAAAATAATAATTTTTTCAGCCAGGCACGGTGGCTCATGTCTCTAATCCCGGCACTGTGGGAGGCCCACTGCAACCTCCACCTCCTGGTTTCAAGCGATTCTCCTGCCTCCCGAGTAGCTGGGACTACAGGTACATGCCACCATGCCTGGCTAATTTTTGTGTTTTTAGTAGAGACGAGGTTTTACCATGTTGGCCAAGCTGGTCTCGAACTCCTGATCTCATGATCCACTTGCCTCGGCCTCCCAAAGTGCTGGGATTACAGGTGTGAGCCACCACACCTGGCCTCTTCTTTTTTATGAGACAACAGAGGCCACAAAAACCTTGAACCCTTCCTGTCAAACACCTTAACTCAAGCGCCAAAGGCCACACTGAGCAGTGGCACTCTGGCTGGATAAGGGTCTTCTTGTGTGCCACTGTTCTTTACCCCGGGATGTGTACATAGCAGCTGGCCTGCTGGGGCTTCAGCCTCTATCTGATGGCTGGATCAGAGGAGTTCCCAGGTATGCTAATGAAAAGATAACAGATAGAGGCTCAGAGTCCTTCCAGAATACCCCAGCCCTGGAGGCAGACTCGGAACAAACTCCCTTAGTGGTTCTTTCAGGGAGAGGTTGCAGTGAGCCAAGATCACGTCACTGCACTCCAGCCTGGGCAACACAGAGAACTCCATCTCCAAAAAAAAATTAAAGAGTAACTTATTCGGCCAGGTGTGGTGACACACCTGCAATCCCAGCACTTTGGGAGGCTGAGGCCGGCAGATCACCTGAGGTCAGGAGTTTGAGACCAGCCTGGCCAACATGGTGAAACCCCATCTCTACTGAAAATATAAAAATTAGCTGGGTGTGGTGGTAGGCACCTGTAATCCCAGCTACTCCGGAGGGTAAGGTGGGAGGATCACTTGAATCTGGGAGTAGGAGGCTGCAGTGAACCGAGATCGTGCCATTGCACTCCAGCCTGGGAGACAGAGAGAGACTGTCTCAAAAAAAAAAAAAAAATAATAGAGTAACTTATTCAGATTTTCTGACCTTGCTTTGGCAAATGACAGGGTTTTTGCTGATCACGCATTTTCTTAAAACTGGGTTGGAACAATAACAGCAGTAAGAAATAAAAATATTAGCGCTTGCCTTTTTTTTTTTTTTTTTCAGAAGTGGTCTCTGAATCTACTCCCTTGAACTCCCAGGAGCGTCACTATCACCAGAGGTGCGAGAATCTAAAAGCTTAACTGGCAGCTCGAAAGCGGATAAGGGCCAGTGATTTCAGTATGTTCTGAGGCAGCCCTACATGGACAAGGCCGGCAAGCCTGGAAGGAAAGAGAAGCAAGGTTTCTCAGCTCCAAGAACAGAGTCCCGATGCCCTCAGAGTCCCAGGAGAGAGAAACGTGCACTCCAAATCCTAGCTGCCGGCTTTGACTACAAGGCTACCCCACCACAGGCCAGGCCAGAGGGAACGGCACCCGGGAAGGATCTGCAAGTTAATCATCAGCAAAGTTGCTCCCTTGTCCTCAACCCCTCTTTGAGTTTGATCTTATTTCATTTTCACTTTTGGAGCTGCGGACTCCACTCCTCACCTTCCTGGTACTAGTCTACCTTCAAGCTCCTCCCAGAAAGCATCAGACTCCAAGGCACCCCACCCTTCTGAGAAAAACCAGCAGTGAAAGATAGGGGACAGTTCAGGCTCGTTCAGAACCAGAAAAGAGTTTGGCAGAATCCAGGCAGGAGCTGACACAATTGGAACGGGCATGGCGCACTACTGCACAGTATGAAGGCCAGGGAGGCTGCTGACTGTCAGCCTCTAAGCAGATGTAAGCAAATTTCCACCAGCCCCTAAATGTTTCATGAATTTCTGCCCGCTTCTCCTTTTACCTGGCTCTCTCAGTCTGGCTGGACTCAAAAGGAATTTATATGGCTTTGAGAGGCAGAGCTTTTCAACACAGACTAAGGATAATAAGCTCCAGGGACCAGGGGCTGGTTCAGAGTCAGCTGCTTCCTGCACCCTCACAGGATGGCCCGAGGCCCATTCCGATCCTGTTGTTTCCAGCATGCCCCAGGGGTTCAAAAGCATGACAGCCACACAAGATTGGCTGTGGTCTCACCTCCTCGCTTGAGCCAAGGAGGAAAGCAGCTCTCGCCCTCAGTGCACAGAGCACTGTGGAGATGGGAGGCTGATGTAAAATGGGTTCTCCCTCGGACACATTTTTTTAAGACAGCCTGAGGCTGGAAGAAATCTCAAGGTCAGCATCTGAATCAGGATGCTGACCTCAGAGAGGAGGAGGTGTGACAGCACCAGCGCCGTGAGCCGCGGTCAGTGTTTACCTCTGCTGATGCGCTGCTTCTCTCCGGACAGGATCCCGGGGGTGTCGATGATACTGATGCTGTCCAGGACGGGGTTGGGCAGCTGGGCACACATGAACCTACATGAGAGCAAGCGCCAGAAGAGAGGCGTCACGACGCAGTCCTCCAGGCTCCCGACGTAACAAAGGGCTCTCTGTACCCCTTCCCTCCATCTCTGGCTTCCTTTCCAGAAGCGGGGAACTGACAGGTGGTTTTCTATCTTAATTTCCCGGGGTGGCTGGCAAATTGTACAGACTTTTTCAACTGGGAATGCAACCAGCAGGCTCAAACTCACCCACATCAGCACTTCCTCACATTCGCTTTTCCCCTAGAGTTGGAGAGGTCAACTTTCAAGCTGCTGACTTGTTAGTGAAAACTGCACCAGCCTAGGTTACCATTCAATTCATAGGGGAAACAGAAGGTGACACTGGGACCTTGAAATCCCATGTTAGAATTTTCCACCACTGGGCTAAATTTCTACCCTGAAGAGAGCCGGCCCCTTCCTACTGCTGCTAGGGCCAGCCCTGCCCTTTCAATCAGCCACTTGGGTGAGGGAACTGAAACTGATGGCCGGCAACAGCTCGGGACCACACAGGATGGTAGACAGTGGGATGGAGAGGCACAGACGTGTCATTCTCTGAAAGTCAGAGCAGGCTGAGGAAGAACAAAGCCATGGAGAGGCTGGCAACTCTCGGGCCAGGGCTCAGCTACAAACACTGGAGTTTCACACTAAGCTTAGAACAGCCCAGAAAGGCAAGGGGCAGTCTCAGTTGAAAGCAGGGATGCTTCACTGGACACAGGAAAAGCTCCTTTAAAAATTTCTCTGAAAGGCCAGGTGTAGTGGCGCATGCCTGTAATCCTAGAACTTTGGGAGGCCGAGGCGAGTGGATCATTTGAGGCCAGGAGTTCAAGACCAGCCTGGCCAACGTGGTGAAACTCCATCTCTACCAAAAATAGAAAAATTAGCTGGGTGTGGTGACAGGTACCTGTAATCCCAGCTACTCAGGAGGCTGAGGCAGAGAATTGCTTGAAGCCAGGAGGTGGAGGTTGCAGTGAGCCCACATTTTGTGCCACTGCACTCCAACCTGGGCAACAGAGCAAGACTGTCTCAAAAAAAAAAAAAACTTCTCTGAAAAAGGTAGTGAGAGCAAAGAAAAGGCTGACCCCATTACCTGTAGGACACAAACTTGAAGCTGCCTTTCCAACAGAGGGGAGGAATCTGAGCTGATCGGCTTCTCCCTTTGGCCCCAACCCCCAGTGACCAGGGGCCCCCATGCAGAGGGCAGCTGGCCAGGGCAAGGGGTGCTGCCTGCAAGGCAGCGGAGCAAGACCAGCTGCCCCTCAGGGCGAGCAAAGCGTGGGCCTTACTCTCACCAGTGCCAGCAGCAATGCATGCAGGCCTGCACTGGAAGGAGCCGCTGGAGAGATGACGACAGAATAGAAGGATGGGAAGTAGAATTGGCTCTGGGAAGTCACATACATAAAAATGCCTCATAAATGAGCCCAGAAAGCAAGTTAATATCTATAGGACCCAGAAACCACTTGCTCTGCAGAGCCCGTGGTGTATGGCTGAAAACAAGAAAGGGATCAAGCAGCAGAGATGCCTCCGATTCCATCTCCCCAAGGATGCACAGGTTTCATCTCGCACAAGCGCAGTCCCAGTTACGCAGTGAGTTTTCACAAGACACTCTTAGGACACCCTGACTGCACCCTGCCTTGGTCTGCTCCAGCTGATTTTATTCTTAGAGCAGCCACATAGGGGGAAAAAGCCGGAAAGTCAAATTCATGACTCAATGAGTCTCTTTAAGACTCGGCTGGAGAGGCTGTATCAGCCAGAGAAAAGCCCCCTTTGTTGCACCCTTCTTGCCAGGCGTCCTCCCCACACTTCACATCCTGACACAGCTCAGGGCCCCAGCTCGGGCTGATAGGGCCCTTTCTAGAGGGCCATCAGCCATCAGGGATCCTCTGGAGATGAGGTGGCAGCACGAAGGAAATAAAAGTGTGCTACCTCTCAGATCCTGTGGCACCAATGTCACCAAAGCACCAGGCTTGGACCAAGCAATGCTGAATTGCTCTTTTCGGGGAAGCAGCAGCAGCAGGCAGTGACCAGCTACGAAAAGCCAGACAGTCAGTGCTGCTTAACCTAATGGGTGACTTCCACAAACCAGGTGGACCCTCTAAGCCTCGGTTTCCTGAGCCAGTGAGGTGGGGGCTGCCGAGATGAGGTCTAAGATCCTTCCAGCTCTGAAACTTTAGGCTTCCAAATTCAGAAAACTGGTCCTGTGCCATGTTTTTCCTTTCAAAAAAGGTCTGCCCTCGCAAGGAAAGTGAAGCGCTTGGGACAGCAGAGGCAGCAGGGAAAGTGACCCTTACCATGGCTTCCCAAAGTTTTGCACGGAAGCAGAGACCTAACACTTGGACTTTCCGGAACAGCAGCCAAACTTTCCACAGGGTCAAAGGGCTCCCTGTCAGCTAATGGTTTCAGCTAGTCACTTATCTACCTGGCAATCCTGAAACAAGGAGGGAAGGCTGGGGCAAGAGGACCCTGCCTCTTCAGGACCCTTAGCCCAAAGAGCTGGGCCTGATACACAAACGCCAACAGCCATAGTACAGGAGGGCAGGCTGAAATGCCTGCAAGTGGCAACAGACCACGCTGAAGGTCAGCTCTGTGCATGGAGCAGTCCTGGCCACCGGCTTGGCTCTAGGGCAAGGTGCCCTGCACGGCTGGATGGCCTCTGGAAAGGAATGTGATCCCACAGGGCGGGGACTTGGAAGGCAAGATTCAAAGATTCCTTCGGGGCTCTTCCCTGGTGCAGACTGCAGACTCTGAAAGGCATGCAGGAGTCGTAGAATGTGGGGTGGCAGGGAGGGCAGGGTTTGGGAAGTATTTTGGTATGTCGCCTGGGGGTGGGGACCAGGATGCCTCGAGTTCCTTTGGAGAAAAGTGAGCCTGGGCATTGCACTCCTTAGACGGGAGGCCACTGTTTCATTCACAGCACTGAGAGAGGCAGAGGCTTGGGGATCACTCTCATCACATGCAGAGGCCACTTAACTGGGAGAGAGAGGTCCAAGTGGGTGAAAGCAGCTCAGATTCTGTCCCTCAGTCCACAGAAGGGCTCAGGGCTAGAATCTCATCGCAGGACCCCAGCACCACCACCTCCTCCTGCTTCCCAAAACCCTTTAAGGCAGCACTGACCGCTTGAGAACTGCCTTTGGGAGAAGCGTTCAAACCTCAACTGTCCCCTCCAAGGGGCTGTCCCAAAGTCAGCAAGCCACAGCAGATTCTCCTCCTCCCTCCTACACAAAACCACAGTCCCAGGGGAGGCAGAGCAGAGCCACACCGCCCCAGCGAAGGGACTGGGTAAAAGTTTCATTGTGTTTTGCTATGACACTTAAGAAGACAAGGAGGGAAGGGTTGATGTGCCTGAACCAAGTGCATCCAGTCTGCGGGAAGGAGGTGAAGACCAAGAAAGAGAGCGCAGGAATGGTTCAGTCCTGGTTCTGAGGGGAGTGGGGCTGGGATTTGTGGGAGGGCTTGGTGGTTAACCTGGAAGATTCTGGGGAAGACAGAAGCTGGGGGAGCTGGCAACGCCCACTCCTAAACCCCAGATGGGTTTTCTCTGGGAAGCGGCAGGGCCCTTGGGCCAGGGAGTGGTCACTGAGGGTCTCACTGGGGCCTCGTAGACAAAGAACGGCGGGGGTGACAGCCACGGCAGGGTCCGGCTCTGAGTGAGGGCTGGCCCGGGCCGCGCCCCACCCCCCTGGAGTGATGGGTGGGTACCTGTTGAGGAAAGCGTTGCCGAAGGCGTTGAGCTTGCGGAAGGGGCGCCGCGGGTCCACCACGAGCGCGTTACCCGGCACCACGCCCTCGGTGGGGCCGTGCATGACGGCGATGAAGGAGTCGGTGGTGGGCTCGGGCCCGATGCGCATCCCCGGGAAGTCCTGCTCGATCAGGTGCCGGATGAAGGTGGTCTTGCCAGTGCTGTACTGGCCCACCAGGAGCACCATGGGCTTGTTGTCGAAGTCAGCGTCCTCCAGCGCGGGCGAGTGGAACTCGTGGAAGCGGTAGTGCTCCTCCAGGGGCAGCAGCTTCTGCGCGTACAGCTGCCGCAGCCCCTCGGCCACCGTCTGGAAGAGCTCCGGCTCCTTCTTGCGGCGGGCATCCTTGCTGACCCAGCTGAACATGCTGCCGGACACGGGGCTGGCTGCTGCAGGGCAGAGCAGCGGCTGAGAGCCGGGAGAGGGCGCAGAGCCAAGGCGGGGCCGGCCGGGACAGGGGGCGGGGAGCGACCCACACTGGGCAGGCGCACAACCGCCGAGGCGCCCTCTGCCGAGTGGAGCGCGCCCCTTGCGGAGCGGCCTTTATAGGATCGGTCCCTAAGTGGCCACGGGAGCCGCCGCGGCGAGGGCGGGGCGGAATTGGGAGAGTTAGGGAGGAACCCCTCTGGCCCCGCCCCTTAGCCTCGTGCCACGTCCTCCCCTCCCCTGCCTCCCATTGGTTTATTCCGAATCTCGCGAGACCGTGGTTCGGGTGCCGTGGCAACCGCACCTGTTTCGCCCTGCCCCTCGTGGGGGAGGCTCGTGGAGGTGCTGTGGTTGGGAAGGCCGGGAGTAGACGGCGTCCGGCGCGAGAAGGTCTCTGGCCTGCGCACCTTCCGGTACCGTGGACACCCACACCCCGAGGGATGGCTCCACGAGACACCCAGTCAGGCATTCCGGTTCCCTGACTATGCGCCTCGCCCGCCGTTCCCCACGTGCCCGTCCTCCTCCCGCTGACTCAGAATCCCCCGAGGCATCGCAGGACCCCCGGGCCGCCGCACCACCTCCTCTCAGCCCCGCTTCTCAGACACACACTGTCTTTGTCCCCTCATCTTTTATCTGTTTTGGGAGAGGGAGAAACAGGATAGAGGTAGCAGAGCAAGCTGAGGGAGTAGAGAATCCCGGGCGGGGTGGTGACAGAGGAAAGAAAAATGGGCAGGGAGAAGGGGGCACACGGGCAAACTGACCGGCAGCGTGAGGCCTGACCTCCCCTCGGGCCGACGTGGTGGGAGTGGGAGAGGGACACAAGCTGGGGAGGACATGCGTGACTCCGGACGCGCGCGGGAGAAGAGAAGGCTTCACTACAGAGGTGACAGCTGGGGCAAAACAGGAGGCCATAAGGAGGAAGTTGAGGCCCTCTGACCACTTGCATTTAGGGAAGTGAAATCGGAAATTCCCTATGTGGTGAAGAGGGGGAGTTTGGGGGCAACAATGAAATTTTGTGGGAACTTAGGGGAAAATTTAAAAACCCAAATACTTCCGCTTTCCCCCCGGGGTCACCACCATTTACCATCTTTTACTGAACCTGTGCCCTACCTCCCCTTACCAGTTCCTGGCTGTCCCATGGGGCTCACTCCCCTGCCATCCTCCCCGGCCACACGCAGACCCTTTCGGCTGGCCAGACTGGTGAGAATCTTCAGTGGGTGATGTCAGAGCTTTGGGGGCTGATTGTTATGTAACTGTAGGTATCAAGACTCCAAGGTTGGGGAGCAGGACCCTGAGGGCTCTTGAAGAGATCTGAATTGAACCTGCAACCTTGAAAGCCTCGGGTCCAACTTTCTGGCTTCTGGGAGATGTGGAAGCCTGGAGAGCTAGGGGCCTATATCGGAATAACTCAGGCTGGTAGGCTAAGAGGAAGTGGCAGGAATTCCAATCTGAGAACGGGATATTTCAGGGGAGCTGAGTCGGATGGAATCTGGAGAGGACATGATGGGAGGTTTGTTCACCCACTTCTTGTAAGATCCCTTCCCAGGGAATAGATAATGTTAGTTCCCTTGCCCTGCCCTCTCCCTAACCATTGGAGAGCAGATAAGTAACCCCAGCTCCTCCTGCAATCTTAGGCCCCAATTTACTGCTTTTATTTGATTTGAGATTCAAATTAGCATTCTTTTCATCATAGTAAAGCACAAAAGCTACTGAGGCTGCGTGCCAACTGGTGATGAGGAGCCTCCGGCAGGCCCGGTCCACACTTCCTGAGTCAGCCTTAGAAGCCAGAGGGTTTGCCTCCTACTCAGCACTATTAGGGATCCACCCCGGAGATGCAGTTTCTGGGCTGATCTCGGGAAGGGCCTAGGGCCGAGGATCCTGAATGAAGTAGTTGTTCAGTGGTCTGAATGAGGCTGCTCCAAAGTGGCGCGCCGGCAGCATCACATTGAGGGACGTTTTTCACATCTCCCCAGAGCCCTGTGTGCTGGGAAAACCCAGCCCCAGAAGACTGAAAACAACAAAATGTTCCCGGGTTATTTATAAACGAATCCTAGACCCTGTTATTCTGTGTGGCCACTTGACTGTCTCCAAAGAGCTTAAAGGACTGAAGAAGGGATCTCTGCCACCCTGGTGAGGCTCAAGTGGCCTGGAATTAGTTCCCCCAATTTCATGGAGTTTTCAGGCAGCTTCCAGGCAGCTTCCTTATCTTGTCATGCTCCAGACTGAAAATGTCGCAATATTTTTTTCTTTTGTGTTTTCTGAGTAAGGCAGTTTGGTGGGAAAGTTTCCTAAAATGTGAATGAACCATTTCACATGTGGTTTCTCTGCTGTTTCACTTTCTGCCTGTCTGCCTGAGTTCAGGGCAGATTGATGGAGGGTTCAAGTATTTTCCTTTTATCTCAGAAACGGCGTCACCCCCACGCCAGTGTTTTATTCTTCAGTTCATAAAAAGTTCAATTCCCTTCCAACCCAGGCAGGGCCTTGAGGTATCCCTGGGTCTCCTCAGAAACTGCCCTCATCCAGCAGAAAGGGGCCCTGCCTACTCTCTAAGTGATCTACTTGGTCCTGTCATGGCCTGGTCTAGGGAAGTATCTACAAGGCTCCTAGAGACAACTTTAAAAAAAAAAAAAAAAAAAAGGCCGGGTGCAGTAGCTCATGCCTGTAATCCCAGCACTTTGGGAGGCTGAGGCAGGCGGATCACTGGACATCAAGACCAGCCTGGCCAATATGGCAAAACTCGGTCTCTACTAAAATTACAAAAATTAACCCAGTGTGGTGGCATGTGCCTGTAATCCCAGCTACTCAGGAGGCTGAGGCAGGAGAATCGCTTGAACCCAGGAGGAAGTTACAGTGAGCCGAGATCGCACCACTGCACTCTAGCCTGGGTGGCAGAGCAAGACTCCATCTCAAGAAAAAGATGTGCCTTTTCCACTTGCGATGCCGCGCAGTGAGGTGCTCTTATCTGTGCTCTTGGCCTTGCCGCCCAAGAGCCAGCTGCAGTCGGGGCAGTCCACCGCAAACGTAGCCGTGGCCTCATCAAGGTGAATGGGTGACCTCTGGAGATGATGGAGCCTTGCGATGCAGTTGAAGCTGCTGGAACTAGTTCTGCCTCTGGGCAAGGAGCAATTTGCTGACGTGGACACCCATGTTTGTGTGAAGGGTGCTGTCATGTGGCCCAGATTTTTGCCCTCCATCAGTCCATTTCCAAAGCCCTAGTGGCCTATTACTGGAAATAAATGGATGAGGCTTCCAAAAGGATGAACGGCATCCTCATCTAGCAAGACCGGACCCTGCCAGTAGCTGACCCCCATTGCTGCAAATCCGGACATGCTGGAGGCCCTGGTGCCTGTGCCTGGTACCAGACATGCTGGAGGCCCTGGTGCCTGTGCCTGGTACCAGAAATCCTACTGATAAGGCCGTCACGAGGACCAGGATTTACCTGTATAATAAACTGTGTTTGGGAGTTTTTTGTTTTTGAGACAGTCTCACTCTGTCACCCAAGCTGGAGTGCAATGGTACAATCTCTGCTTACTGTAACCTTCACCTCCCAGGTTCAAGGGATTCTCTTGCCTCAGCCTCCCGAGAAGCTGGCATTGCAGGCACCCACCACCACACCTGGTTCATTCTTTTGTATTTTTAGTAGAGACAGGGTTTCGCCGTGTTGGTCGGGCAGGTCTCAAACTCCTGACCTTAAGTGATCCACCCACCTCGGCCTCCCAAACTGCTTGGATTACAGGCGTGAGCCACCGTGCCCAGCCGGTATTTTTTGTTTTTTTAAGGTTTTTCTCCAAATATGGAAGAAGAATAGGGCTGGGAAAAACCAAAACACATAGGTTTCTCCCTGGGATGAGGAGTGGTTCATTCTTTCCACTGAGAGAGTTTGCGTATCAGCACAGATTGTTGTTCTCTTAGTCGTGAGATTTGGGCAACAAATCAGTTTTGCCAACACACGGTAAGGAACTGAGGAGGACTGTTGTTTCGAATGCTGAGTCTCCCGCACTGGCAAGAAGAGCATCCTGTCCACACCCTGAGGCCTCTCTCTGGCAGCAGCTGTGGCCCTTGGGTGATGGCTCTGGGGAGATTGCTGGGCCCCAGAGGCTTCTGTGGGCATGTGGCAGCCGGGACATGGCCCAACTTGGAGGTGTCCATGTCAGGATCTTAGATGTTTTCAAATCCCAGTGAGAAAGAGCCTGAGGCCCGGGATGTCCAGTGACTGCTCAAAGTAGCCCAGGTTGAATGAGAATCTGGGCCTTCGGAATCTTAACACTGCGCTGTTGTCACACTCTAGCCATTTGAGGTTGCAAGGTCAGGCAGGTGGAAAGGCAGAGAAAGAGGGTTTCAAGAGCCTCTTCCCCAGATGCAGGCTGAAGTGAATCTGTGTCCCGAAGCTCACCCGCCCCTTTGCTGCTCTGCAGCCTGGGAGACAGGCTTGCACCTTTATCAGGGTGATGGACACATATAACTGCACAGTGCTTTGCAGAGCTGAGACTTAGAAGTCTCTGAGCACTCTGAGTAAAAGTTATAGTTCCCCTGCCAGGCTTCTGCATGTGTGTCTCAGTCCCTGTGGCTTCTGGCTCTGTCTTTTCAGGGCTGCTGAGGCCAGCGCTGCCACTGAGTGCAGGGTGCAGGGTTTACCCTAAACTTATCGGAGGGCCCAGGCCTTTGCTTGACTCCACAGGAAACAGCCTATTATTTGGCATATGAGCAATCCCCTTCTGTGGTGACATTAGGGGTCCCTTATTGGGTGCTGGGTCGCCCTTACCCTACAGTAATGAAATGGCGAGTGTAAACCTGTTGTCCCCCAGCCTTGGCGGCCTGAAAGTACAAGTGAGGTGCATGGTCTTAGGCTCCTTGTGTGAGTGCAGGCTGCTGCCAGGCACATGGCCCCTCTGCATTTCCAGGGGGCTCTAGAGTCTGTCTTGTGTGTGCAGGAACAAACCTGCCCCAGTTCTGCTCCAGCTGCCTCTCCCTTGCCTTGGCCTCACCCTGCAGTCCCCCTGCGGCCCTCAGCCTCACCATGGGCTCACAGGCTGGGGGCTGGAGGGTAATTCTGTCCCCAACCATGTGTCACACTCAGCCACCAAGGCACAGAGCCCAGCCCATCTTCAACAAGCCCAGCATCTCCTCTGGGCTCTGGCCCAGCTCCTCACTCCCACACCTTGGGAGGAGCCAGACATCATGCCCAAGGCCACCCTCCTGTCCCCTGTGCTGGGCTATCCCCTCCCTCCTCCATCCCCCCAAATCAAAGTCTCTGTGTAGGTCGCTTGGGGTCACCCGGCCCACCTGTTCGCAACAGCCAGTCTCCTGCCTCATCCTGTGGCCCAGCCAGCACATTCCTCTGAACTGCACTTCTTTACTCTGCCGTTAAGTACAGAACATGGTGATGCTCCATCTGCCGGGAGACTGAGGCCAGAGCCCTCCCCCGAGGCCCAGGCTCCATGCTGGCTCCTAGAGGCACATGTTGGGGCATCCCCGAGGGCAGGAATATAGTGGAACCCTCTCAGAGGTGGGGCCAGGCCTCTGTCTCCCGCTCACCCAATCTGGCCCCTGCCCCTTTGGTCCATGTCCTGCCCCAGAAACACTTCTCCTGCCCTTTGGTCATCACTAACACATCAGTAAGACATCGGTCACCACCGCGAAAGTCTAGCCTGCAGACCCTGACGGATGAACAAGTGCACTCTCACACCATTACAGTGATTCAAGTGGGCTAGGGATGACTGTTGGCTGCTTTCAGAGGGCGAAATGCAATCAACCCAGACTCCCTGTCCATCACACATTTATTCCCTCGAGATTTTACAACAGCGCTTCTAAGTTAACACACTTGCGGACGATTAACACGGTTAAAAGAGTGGTTATACGAATGATAAAAGCTTTAGGTACCTGCTAAACACTATTAGCAGGTAATTCCCCTTCGATCTTCCCAGGAGAGGGCCATCCAGCACAAAGTTTACAGGAGTAAACAGAGTAGAGACAAAGGGATGTGGGGTAAACAGACTTAAATGGGAAAGCCCTGTCCTTATCTTCTCCCTAACTTAATGGACCGGGCTGCTGCCTTCAGCCTGCCCCAGTAAAATCTTTCAGCCTCCCAAAAGGTTTGAGACTCATCTACAATTTTTCCTAAAAGTTACTATCTTTAATATTTTGCCAGCACCCCCCCCCCTCGCACCGCCGAG